TCTCTACTACATCTCAAGATTTAGTGTGAAAATATAATTACACCACTGATATGGGTGCATGAATGGTCAGTTGATGTAATAGAAAGCCAGGTAGTAGGCACCCAGTCTTGAATAGATGTTTCTATGTCAGATTTCTATGAAGTGCCATGGCTGATTAGAGGGGGAAATTATAATTAACTTTTCAATAAATTGTGTTGAGTAGCCATTTGGAAAAAAAGGAAATTGGATTACTACCTCCCATCAGGCCCCCCAAAATCTGTTTTAGTGCATTAAAGTACTAGATGTGAAACACAAAGCTGTATGCTTTTTAAAAAAGAATATAGGCTATCTCCAGGGCCTTGGGAAGGATTTCTTCAACACAGGACAAAAAGCATTATCGTAAAGAAAAGGATTGATAAACTGATTACATTAAAATGAAAAACTTGTCATCATACTTTTTAAAAAGATGAAAAGAAAATCACAGAGTGGGTGAAGATAATATTCTGTTCATTTGTTTCTATAATGCAAGTTCATGTATGATTGATAAATGGGGAGAATGATGTCATTTGAACTGAGGTAATACTGATTCTTATTCCACTTTCCCAGCAAGCTCGTGTCTTTTATCATCAAGCGGCAGCAAGTAAACAGGATATACAGACATAGCTAAATGTTGCATGTGCTATACATGATGCCCATCCATCTCAGTTTGGCCCCTTTTCTCAATTTCAACATGTGCTTTATCTTAAAATTGCTTATTGCACATTTGCCTTATCATTAGTCAGTAGCTTTAACCCTCTTTGTACCCCTTTCTTTCAAGTACCTTTTCATTTCACTTTTTCTTAGTAGTTTTTTAAAGATAAAATACTTTATTTACTCTAGTATTTTTTATTAGGACTCTAACATGTCTTAAACTATTAATTTTTTTAGTTATGGTTATTGATTAATGCTGTGGTTGCAAATTTGTAATATGTTTTGAAAGATGAACCTTAACCCTATTTTCTCCACATTTTCTTCTTTTGGAGCATAATTTTGCAGAAGGCATATTTCACATCTTAGCAGAAACACCCTGTATTTGCAACATATATTTGACAAAGGACTGTATTGTTTCATTAATACTAAGGCTCAACTATTTCACATATTAGCTTCTCTACAGTTGGAATGTATCTTACATTCCAAAAGATGGAATCTTTCAACTATAACTATAACTGTTTTTTTTTTCCTAAGGAAAAAATAATGGTGCATTTTAGAAGCTGTTGATTACTTAGACTTGATGAAGTACTGTAGTACCCAGAATGTAAAGAACTACATATCAATTTTAAAGAGTCAGGCAACACAGTAGGGAAGTAGCAAAAGACTTGAACAGCCACTTTATAACAGAAGAAATCTCTGTGGCTAGTAAATATATGAAAAAGAACGTTTAATCTCATAAGGCAGTCACACATTAAATACACAGTGAGATGCCTTTACGTACTTAGCATACTGGCAGAAGTGTTAAAACCCCATAACAAGTATTGATGTGGACACAAAAAGATGTATAAGGTATGATTTTATTCATAAGAATCTAAGCTATGCTGCTTAGAAATGCATTATTTATTTGGGAAAAACATTTTTAAAAAGAAAGGAAGTCATCACACAAATGTCAATATGGTACTTACGTTTTGGGGGTGATTTATGATAGAGATGTTCAAGGGGGCTTTTGGTGTTCAGGTAATGTTCTGTTTCTTCACCTGGATGAGTTTGTTTTGTAATTGTTAAACTTAATGTTATTTTCTGTACTTTTCTATATGTTTCAGAATAAAATAAAAAGGGGGGAATGGTCATTTATGCCAAATGTTGTTGTTATGTCAGGTAATATGAAGACTGAGACTTGACTGTTGGATTAAGCACAGTGGAGACCACTGAACACAATGCATCATCCCAGTGGCGTGCTTGGGGCAGTGACCCGATTAGAATGGGCACAGGATAGAGTGAGAGGAGAGGAACTGGGGACTGAGTAAACAGCACTCATCGGAGGAGTTTTATGTAAAATGGAGAAATACAGTGTTGACAGGAGAGGCTGTAGGAAGCTTTACATAAAATATAGAGCATCAGGAGAATATGAGGATAAATTTTCTGGAATACTGAAGGCAATGGAGCAGTGGATGGGAAGGGAGAGAATTTGCTATTGTAATAATTACGTTTTTGGGGGAGAAGAAATAAAAAAGTTTTAATGCTTATATTTGTACAGAAAACTAACATTAAAGCTGCTTGGTAAGTCTTGGGAATATGTATGTTGGAATCACACATAACATTTCATATCTATTAATGGAAAAGATCATGAACACTATCTTGCTCAAAACTGCTTTGCAGTAAGAGAATGACTCCCAGAGGGATTAATACTTGCTTAAAATTGTACCATTAGTAATCATCCCAGCCTAAAACACAGAGTTGCTCTTGCCCCTTGGGTTAGTGCTCTTTTTATAGTATTATCTATAATATGGTTTGTTCTTAAATCAGGTTTTCTATATATAGTCATTATATTTTATAGTAGAGTTTATTTGAATAATATTTCAGGTGCCTTTGCTACAGAACAGACAATGCCAGAACATAATCGTCATGTGTTATTTCTCATGATTTCATGAGTTTGCTGAGCTCAACTAGGACTATTCACATGGCTTGTCATTGGCAGTTCAGCTGAGGTTGGAGGGCCTTACTCACATATCTCGGGCCTTGGTACTGTTTGTGGCGGGGAAAACATCATACATCTCTCATCATATGATAGTCTAGACTAGATTTTAGTGGGACTATTCCAAGGAGCAAAAATGGAAGTCTAAACCCCTGAACTAGCACACCACCACATCTGCCACATTAAATTACTCAAAGCATCTCATAAATCCAATCCAGATTGAAGAGTTAAGGAAACAGGCCCCATCACTTGATGGGATGAAGTGCAAAATACTGTGGTCATGTTTAATTATAAATTATAAAATAGATTAATTATAAATGTTATATTTAAATAAATAAATGCCCTTTCTAATGATAATTTTCACTTAATATGTAGTGAAGAGCTGTTGATTTAGAGAATCTAACAATGTAGGATTAGTCAATATGAGAAACAATTTGACAATGAAAAAATGTGTTATGGAAAAAAGGGGAAGTTATGTTTTCCAGATTTTGTATCTTCTATGATGTAAAACAAAGAAAGAAATATGTGTTTTATAAAAAGGTAGACAAAAATAAGGGGAAGAATTCATTGAATGCAATCTTTATTGTTGGGAATGTTGGCTTAATCATTATTTTCTGAAATCATTACCATTAATGTTTTATCATCATATTTGTGGATTTTTTTTTACATTATAGAATACACTAGAATATAATGCAATGGAAAAGTAAGAGCAACTAATAGTTTCCTATGAATTAATTTATAATAACATATTTCCAGGCACTGTGCTAATTATATTTGTATAATATTTTACTTACATTTATTTGAGAGCTATCTGTATTAAATACCTACTCTGATTCTTTCACTGTGCTAAGACTTGGAGCTGTTACTCTGAACCAGGTAGACATGGTCCTTGCATATTGCACACCCTTAGTTGAAATTAGGGAAGGTTTTCTAAAGAAATTTTCTAAGCCAGGACCTGAAGGATGAGTAGGGGTTACTGAAGTAAGATTGAGAAAGGGAATAGGAAGTTTTCCAGGGAAAAGGATAATGGCTTGGATGGGGCCTTGGAGTTAAGCAAGTAAAAATCTATTTGTGGCTAAAGCCTAGAATGTGAAAGGGTGAGACAAGAATGAAGCTGGAGAGGTAGAGTCTGGATTTTATGCCAAGGATCATGGGAAACCATTGATGAGTTTTAGAGTTTCTTTTGCTCAGATTATTGTTTTAGAAAAGTTACTGGCTGCAGTTTGGGTAAGGGCTGTAGCCAGGGAGAAGAAAGGGTTGACCCCAGGAAACCAATAATACAAACCATAGGTAGTGATACTAATTAAGTGAATGTGAGAGTAGAAGAGATGTTTAGGAAATGGAATCAACCAAATTTGGTGACTGGATGTGGAGGAACCCAAGATGACTGCTCTCAGGTTTCTGAATTTGGAGTGCCATTAATTAATAGGGAACACCCGTGCGGAACAGGTGTGGGAAGGGGTCCTTGTGTGGGACTTGCTGCACTATCCCAACTCTATTTCTAGGCTAAATACATGGGTCTCTTTTTTACATTCTCTAGTATTTGAAATGATATTTCTAATATCAGTTCATAAAGGTTTTGATTCTTGTTCAGTAAAAGTCAAATGTAGCAATACTGCCATAACCTGAATTTATATCTTAGATCTGAAAGATTTTACTTTAGCGTGAATTCCTTAATAGGTAGAATTTAGTGCTCTGTTGTATAGTGAATTGCATCAAACAATTTACATACTGCTTAAGAAGCAACATGTGATACCTGTCTTAAGCCTTGAGCCTTAAGTGATGAGGCCTGTTGCCTTAACTCTTAAGCCTTGAGCCTAAATTAAAATAATTTCATAATTAATATTTGTCCAAGGTTTAAAAATAGCGTTCATTAAAATAACTTTTAAAAACTGTTTCTCTCCTATTATTGTCCTTCCTGACTCTAGTAAGTAAAATATTGGTTTACATTTTATGCCTGGGAAGAAAAAACACATAAGATAGCTACATAAAAATGAAGTATATCATTTGTGGACTTCTCTCTCCTTCAAATGTTAAGTAATGATAATTGAGGTTTAAAAGAAGAATTAACTGTTGTGCCTTGGCACATTAAACTTCCTTTGATACTAAAATTTTAATTTTGAATTTCTAGCTATCTGTAGATTTTATTAAAGTACATTTACTCATCCTACAGGATTTGTTGTTCTAGGAATGTTAACTTGCCCAAAATGTTCTGACCCTCATTATAGAAAGTACATGTTCAATAGTCTGTTTCTCCCATGTGTTCTCTATAGACTGGACTTTCTAATATTCTCAATATTTTGTAAGTTTAAAAGCACTTTACAACCTATTTTTTCTTCTTGTTTTTTTTCCTTAGGCACTACACGGGCCCCCAGGGATGGGGAAGTACCAGGGGTGGACTATAATTTCATTTCTGTTGAGCAGTTCAAAGCACTGGAAGAGAGTGGAGCATTATTAGAAAGTGGAACCTATGATGGTATGTCTGCAAATGTTGACAACAACAGCAGCCCAGAAAAATACCTGAATCACTGGAATTACTTCAGGGGAAATTTTATCAGTAAAATACCATTTTTAAAGTTTTTCCTGTTAGTCTTTGGGAAAATTTTCTTTTGATTAGGAAATTTTTAATTTACTGATTAAATGAAACTAAACAATAAGCAAAAATGTTCCATCATATTATAAAGTTGATTGTGAGTGATATACTAAAATCATTTAAATTGGCCAGTTTGCATATTTCATAGTAATTCACATTCATCATATAAACTCAGCAAGCATTTGTTGATAGCTTTCTGTTTGTGTTTGGGAATCCAAATACTTCACACTTTAAAAAATCTGTTTATACCTTGGTTATCTTGGAGAAAAGAGAATATTGATTGGCAGTGGGAGGCAACTAAAACAAAATAATTGGTTTCCTTTTCATATCTTTTTCCTCTACCCACCTGATTCTAGGAAGTATAGATTTAAGGTCAACTTCAATTTTTAAATGATTCTATATTAGTCCTTTTTTCCCCTTACCTAACACTCTTTACCAGCAAGCTTGTCCACTCCCATGCTTTTCTATCATTGCTTTTCATGCTGTTATAATTGCCTTTTTTGCAAACTCTAAAGGCAGCATCATGTCTTATTCAATAGTATCTTCAGTGCCTAGAGGTGGGGCTCAAAAAATTCTGACCTTTCATCATAACCAAGTATGCCTTTGCATTCTATCCAAAATAGTAATTTTTCATAATTTCTCTCTTTAACTGCACTGTGACCTCAAAAGAGTGGAGTCATCATGTACTTCTTCCTTTTTCTCACAGTTCCCACCCAGTCAGTTACCAAATCTTGTCATTTCCTCCTTTCTAGCAGATTTCACAATTCCTTTCTTCTCACTTTCATCACCGCATTGTAGGCCCACTGGACTAGGTAATGCCTGGACTGTTGCAGTGAATCTCATCTATTACAATTGCTTCCCTGTGTCCATCCACCCTGCCTGCTGCTCCCGTGCTAGCCAAGCAGTACTCTGGTCGTCTCTCCTCTTTAGAATCTTCAGTGGTTTCCTTCTGCCTGCTCAGTTTGACCCAACTACCCTTTCTGGGTGTATCTCCCACAACTCACTCACTCACTCATTCATTCATTCATTCATTTGATCCTTCTTTCATTCATTCAAAAACCCATTTATTAAGTACCTGCTATGTGCCAAGTACTATAAAGAGGGACTAGAGATACTGTGATGCACAATATTGAAATGATACTGCCTTAATAAATCCTATGTCTTAGTGGGGACGGCAGTCAAAAAAACCATCAGAATAACTATAAATTAAGATGTTGTGAAGGAAACAAAAACGGATTTAAAGAAGATAATAGGAATGTCTTATTTAAATAAGGTGGGCAGTGAAGCCTTCTCAGAGGAAATGATGGCTGCTAATATTTTATTTTTATACAAATAGCCTACTTATTCCCCCCCTTATAGGCAATCTTTCTGGTGTGTTTAATATGTATGTTTATTCATTCACACACACACACCCTTATAGGCAACCTTTCTGGTGTATTTAATATGTATGTTTATGTTTGTATGTGTTCAAAATGTGTATTAGTCTTTGTGCATGTATTATTTACGTTGGGACTATGTTCTGTATCTCATTCAGTTTCCATTTTCAGTAATGTTACTTTGTTTTTTAGATTTATCCATGTTCTTTCCTGTATTTACATGTAATTCATTGCTTTTTAACCACTGCATAGTATTCAATGTTGTGACTTTACTGTGTTTTACTTAACCATTCTACTAGTGATTGAATTCAAATTCCCTCCAGCTCTCCCTCACTACCACTAAAGCTGCAACAAGCATCCTTGGACTGCCTCTCATAGACCTGTGTGAGGCTGGCTGTGGAATGTACAGCCAAGTACAGAATTGAGAGGTTTTAAGATATGTATATACTTAATCTGGTGTAGTTTGGGATAGTTTTTCAGTCTGCATTCTCACCAGCAAAGCATGAGGCTTTGCTCCTGCAGCAGCTATAGTAATGACTCCTCATCCTCATTAAACACTTGGCATTGTTCAAATTTATAATTTTGCCAGTCTGATGGTTATATCTCATTTTAATTTTAGTTTCTCTGGTAGTCAGAGAATTTGAGCATCTTTTCATATGCTTGTTAATTTTTTTGGACCTCTGCAAGTTGCTCATTTGCTTTGTCCATTTTTAAAAGTAGAATCTCAATCACATTCAAGTTAGGTTAGCAGACATTCCTTAGATGTTTACATATTTATTTAGAGATTAATCCCTTTTATTGGGTATAGATATTGTCTTCCATTCTGAAGTCACCTAATAACCCTGTCCTGTGTTTCTTCACTAAACAGAAATCCTTAATTTTTATCTATTAGACTTATTACTGTTTTCCTTGTGATTTGTGCTTTTGAAGTTTTAAGAAGTTCTTCTCTGCCCTTAAATCACAAAGATATTCTCCTACATTTTCCTCTGTCAAGTATAAGAATATGGCATAGGACAAAATGGCATATAACATATTATTAATTGTGTGCTCAATTTAAAGGAAATGCAAATTGAAATAACAGTCATACACCATTTCACACCCATCAGATTGACAAAAATGTTAAAGTCTGATAATCTTGGGAAATGGAAATTCCCTTACACAGCTGTTGAGAGTATAAAGTGATATGATCCCTTTGGAGAACATCTTGTCAATAGCTAGTATATTGGAAGATGTACATAACTCTGACCTAGCAGTTCCTTCTCTGGATGCCTACTCTAGAGAAATCCTCATCTGTGTGCATATGTAGTCATATACTGGAGTAGACATTATAGCACTATTTGAAACAGTGAGCAAATGGAAACGATTCTATTTTAGTAAGGAAGTGAATAAAATACATTTTAATTAACTCATAAAAATGGACTATAATATAGCAGTTAGATGAACTAAAATCTACATATATCAACAGGAATAAGTTTTAGAAATGTAATTGCTTAAAAAAAGAGGTGAAAAAGGATACGTATAGTATATGGTTTAGAAAAAAGATATGTTATAAAAAACACTATGAAGTCATTATGTAAGCAGTGGTATTTATATGTTATGTATGCATATATGTCATAGAGGTACACAGTATGCAGGGAAGTTTCGCATAGCAACATTTAGAAGAACTCAGCAAGAGTGTGGGAAGGACAGAGACACAAATTAGGGCTTTAATTGTATATATGATCATATATATATGTATATATAAATATATATATGTATGTCCTTAAAAAGGAAAACAAGTGAGACCTGAAAGGAATCTGGCAAAAGTTAATAACTGGAGGATATGAAAATAAAAAAAATTAAAATGTTTCTCATATAATTATCTGTGATCTTATATATGTTCAAAATATTTAATCATTGGTAATTCTATTGTAAAAATGAAAAAGCCTTCAGAAAAGAGAAAAGAAAGTGGGGGAATAAAAAGCTCCAAACAGCTTCAAAAAGATGAAAAACTTTCTGTTAATAGCTATAGTTAGGGTTCACAAACCTTATCATTTTATACCACGTTGTATCTGAAACCTTGATACTTACCAACAACTCAAGAAAAATTGATCTAATTTAGTTACAAATAATGCTGGTTTTCTTTTTTAAATCTAAGCCCAATAATTTTTCTTTTAAGTAAGGAAACTGCTGAAACTTCAAAAGTACTAAAATGTTTTCAGTGATTATGGATAGCAATCACAATATCCTGAATTTTTTTCTAATTTTTACCCTAGAAAAATGTTGAATTTCCTAGAGGTAGATAGTAATTACTAAGAATACACAGTGAAAGGTATTTTTAGTGTTTCTGGTAAGAAAAATTGGACTTTTATTTTTGTCATGGTGCATCCAAATTCCTTGGTGCTGTGATTACTGGACAAAATACAGGAAAAAATGAGATCCTTGAACATCCTTCCTATTCCCTAGTCAAATCTCTGTTTGGAGCATTTCTGTGCTCTCTGCCTCTGAGAAGTGTGGTTTTTTTCATTGGTTCCTTGCTATTATATATGTGTCAGAAACTATGAAGAGATCTCTCTTAATCTGTTTTAATACGCATCTTTGCATCCATCTGCATGATATATGAATAAATCCATTTCAAACAGGGATTTGGAACCAAGGGAATAGTTGAGTGGGGAGAAGCAAGATAATAGTTGAAAAGTTTTATGGTTTGATTTCATTGTTTTGCCTTGAATATTTTAATGAAAATTATTACCTAAAGTCAAATTTCCAAAGAATTCATCTTAATGCTTTCCCCTCAAAGCATGCATGACGTAACATAAACTGATTTTGTAGATTTGCTTCAGTTATTTTTTTGAACAACCTGTTTTTTTATAACCTAGAAAAAATAATCCTTTATATGCCCCTTATGTGAATGAGCATCTTGATTACCTCCTTAGGAACCCAGGGCTTTGATCAGAAGATGTGATTTAAAAAAAAATAATAGAAGAGCATGAGTATTTTACTCCCTAACCATATTTATCCTCCTGTTATATTAGCATAGTGATTGCTACATGGTCAAGACTAGCAGGAGCCACAAACCGTTGCTGTAGCTGGACCTCTTGAGCACTTTCCCCATTGTAATTGCCTGCCTAATGAAACTACATGACAAATTAAGCGGATATTCAGTTCTCATTTCATTCTATTCTAGAACATTTATTTTTTACAGTAAAAATTACTGATCCTCAAGATTTAACATACTAAAGTATAGAAATATTTTATTTCTAAATAAAGGCTTTCCTGAGAGTAAGCCAATATTGAATTATGCTAATAATGTCTCTGTTCAGTAAATAGTCAGGTAAAGTAATATAATTAGAATGTCAGAAAAACTTTAAAAATTACTTTTACATAAACACCTTACATTTCAACACAGGCTAGTTAGTTATTAGCTTTATCCTTTGCCCACATATTTCCTCATTTTACCAAAGTAGTTCATTATGTTATACATCAGAACAAAATTATTTGAGTTAGTTTTCTCTTTCTTTACTCCCACTTTTCATGCCAATTAGTCCTACATGAGAGCATTGATGCATTTAAATTCACAAATTAGGCCCTAATTTAGAATTTATGCAAAGCAAGCCTTGTAGGAATAAATAGTCTATGTACATAAAATCAACTAACTGTTCTTAGCACCAACAGTCCTAAAATAAGGGCACTTGATAAATTAGTTCTTCCTATTCTTTCCACCTCTTCCATTTACCAGAAAGTGCTTTGGCCTCTTTTTAGCCAGTCGTATGTATTCAAAAATAGCAGTATAAGATAATAGGGCAGAGACATACACTAGGTTATTGCTCTAACTCTCAATTCAACTTTAGTACTCTCAGCTGTTGTTATTTTGTCCACTTCAGGAAACTTCTATGGAACTCCCAAGCCTCCAGCAGAACCCAGCCCTTTCCAGCCAGATCCAGTTGATCAGGTTCTCTTTGATAATGAATTTGACACAGAATCCCAAAGAAAACGAACTACATCTGTCAGCAAGATGGAAAGAATGGACAGCTCTCTTCCTGAAGAAGAAGATGAGGAGGACAAGGAAGCTATTAATGGCAGTGGAAATTCAGGTTCATAAATAGATGAAAAACCTCTAACTGATCTTCCAGGTTGACTTCAGCATGACAGTGCATTGGAAGTAAAATTTTTCACAAGACATAAGCTGAGCAAGTGATGAGATTCTAATATTTTTAAAAGGTTGTGTGTGGAACAATTTCTATCTCTGTTGATTGTCTTGTAAGCTGTAGTTAGTTGGCAAGTGGCAGTTTTGATAAATCAGTAAATAAGCTATAATTAGTAAATAATATAATAGGCCATTTACTGTGCTGCTTAAAAGATTTGAGTTTCATTCTGATGCTAGAATATGGGAATCTTGTTGGCTTAAGTCCTGCTTTACAAGCTATAGCAAAGTGTAGATGTTTTAAGATAGAACCTTCAACCAAAACAAAGTACAGAGGTTGGAAATATGCTAATAAAATTACCTGAAAGATTTTTTTAGCAATATTCTGAGTTGAAATTCTGAATCTCTCAAAGAAAATTTCCAAACTTGACTCTCATATTTTTCATTAAATGCAAAAACCAACAGAATTTTAGTGGTGGAGAATCTGCTTTTGAGTACCTCTCAATAATGTGGTGATTGCTTAGGACAATCTTATGCTTAATTTAGAGTATAAGTAGGAAACCACAGAGTCAGAGCAGAACTAATTTCAGTCCTATTTATTATAATAATTCCATTCTAAACACTAAATACAAGCTTTATAAGGGCAGGAATTTTTGCTTGTTTTGTTCATTGTTATATCCCTTGCAGTATAAACTCCCTGGCACAGAGTAGGAACTAAGAAAATATTTTATTGATAAACAATAAATGAATGAATTTGATCATATTCCCAAATTTGTAGAACTCATTACCATATTATTTTCCCAGTGCAGTTCCAGGGAAATGGAGGAATGGAAGTAGAGGTAGCAAATATAAAGCTCTGTCAAGGATGTTTGATGTAGAGGAGAGAGAAATGGGGTGGTTGCTAGATGGAAAAACAACTGTTTCATTTCTTTTTAAGAATAGAAAAGTAGTTTGTTTTTATGTGGATGGATATGATTTGCTAGGTAGGGAATATTGGTGATACAGGAGAGAAAGTGAGAGAATTGCAATAGGCAAGAGGGGATAGGATGTAATTGAGGAGTTAACCTTAGCTAGGAGCACAGACAGTTCTTCCACAGCAACAGAAGCTGGAGTAAATGGGCACAGGTGCTGTGTGGATGTAATTGTGAGAATTCGTGGAAATTGTCTTCTGCTTGCTTCTACTTTTTTAGTGAAATAGAAAACAGGGTCATCAAATGAAATTAGGGATAAAGGAGAAGTACAAGAAGATTTAAGGAGAAGGAAGGTATGAAATAATTACCTAGGAGAGTGTCAGAGTGAATGGATTAAGGACATGTCCTGTGATTGTCATACATCATTAAATGCCCTCTGGATCATGAAGTAAGAGTGAACTAGTGTTGCCTGTGTTCAGCTACATGTGTTGGTGTAGAATAGGTGGAGAATAAGATTTAAGCAGAATTATGGTTCAATCAGGTAAGTATGATGAACTGAGGTTGGGACAAAGCAATCAAGAGTGTTTACAAGGGGTGGTTATAATGTTCAGTCATGGAATTTAAGTTGAGTAAGGGCAGTGAGGGCAAGGCCAGGGCATGGATGGGGGTGAGGAACAGTGGGAGGTGGTAAGAAGTAGTATTGATGGATCATAGAACTTGGCTGGGTAAAGGATGGTTGGAGTGGAAGTACTATAAAGAGTGACATATAATGATTTCAAAGGCTTCTTCCAAGATTCTCTGATCCTGAGGCATTGCCTGCAGTTCAGAGGTGTTACTTATATTACCTTTTAAGCTTTAGAAATGAGTTTTAGGTGTGTGGATTATGAACTCCCTAGACAAATTTTAGTATTCTTACCTACATTATGGACTTTGGGACTCTAAAAGAATTTTAATATCACCAACAGAGAATTGTATTCAACAACAAGAAGTCTATTGGAGTGTAATTTTTAAAAATTATTATTTTAAAGGACTGTGTTAAATGTATACAGGCAGGTTGGTCTAACAGCTAAGAGCAGGGACCACTTAGACTCAAATCCTGGCTTTGCTGTTTATTAGCTGTGTAACCTTGGTTAAGTTAATTTAACCTCACTGTGCCTTAGTTTCTTCATTTATAAGATAAGAGTAACAATAAAATGTACTCACAGCATTGCTGTGAGGATGATGAGTTAATATATGTAAAGTGCTTAAAATAGAGCCTAGCTCATTAAAGGTCTGTGTAAGCGCTGTGGCTGGTACGGTTGGTGTTGTGTTGACTGGTTCATATTCAAACTGATTCTACCATCATTTTCGCTTCTATCACAGACAAGCATTAGAGGTGCTGAACAGGGTTATTGTGATCCAACAAATGAAAAAAATTCACTATGTTTATTTGTTATTTAAAAAACTATAGTGCAATATGTACATAATAGACAAGGAAATAAATATTTGTCCTTTTGTTAGAAGTGAAGAGCACTGTTTGAACAGAGTGTGACTTTATCTACTTTCCACGCTGTTCTGTTTTGAATAGCAGAGAACAGAGAGAGGCATTCTGAGTCATCTGACTGGGTGAAGACTGTTCCGAGTTACAACCAAACAAATAGCTCCATGGACTTTAGAAATTATAGAGATGAGAATCTGGAACCACTGCCCAAAAACTGGGAAATGGCCTACACTGACACCGGGATGATCTACTTCATTGAGTAAGCAGATGTCTGTATGTCTTCTCATGTCTCTATCACTATGAGACTTGCCTTAAACAAGTTTTAACCTCATTTCACAAGGCTTCCATTTCTTTTTCCTCTTTTTTTTTCTTCTTCATACAGGTTACAGTTGATTCTTAATCTGATTATTTCCCTGTGTGACATTTCATTTTTATTTGATTTGGATAAAGGAATAGTGTTTATAGTGTTATAAAAACAGAAGGATTACAAACAGGTTCATCACTAACAATGAAAAAGGAATAAAGGGTGTTTTGCTTTGCTGTTTTTTAAAAAACTTTTCAGTAAATTGTCCAACTTAAAGAGCAGTTCAAGAATTATCATCATTTGGAGGGTAGGTGATTTTATTATCTGAGCTAAATATTTTCAGTCCTAGAGTTTGGTTATAATATACTCAGGCAATACAGTTAAATAATACAGGAAGAAAATATCATTGATCCTCAGAATAATTGGTACAATATGAATTCACAAAATATAAAACTATTTTATGTGAAAACACTATCAATATAAATAAAAATGTATTTATAGAGATACAGAATACCACATGATCTTGATCAATTAAAAATGTTATATTGTTTGTACCAGCAAATAATAATATGCAAATAATTTATTGGAAGTTTTATTATGAAGTATTTTTATATTATCATTCAGCTGTAATTCTCATCTTTAAAGGAATTTGCCCAGAAATAGAATACAAATACAGTGAAGTTTCAGAATATAGTAATTAAATAATTAAAATATTGAGGGCTAGATACTGTACTCAGAGAACATGTACTAAGAGATGAATTAGGGGTGGGAGACTTGAATCTGTTGCCTTAATTACACTTCCTTCCCATAAAGTGAACATCTTGCTGGACCAAGTGGGATTCTAGTTTTTAAAAGACATAGATTTTGTGTGCACTGTATTCTTTTTACCATATATGGTACATTATTGATTACATTATACATTTATATAAACATTGGTGATGAGGATGTAAAAAAAAGACACAATCAGGTCTATTCTTTTCTAGGGACAACTTAAAGGGATTTTCAGGGGTAATTTAGACTTTTGACTTTCATTCTGACTTTAGGACTAAACCCCCAAGTAAGATGTAGAGTCAACTAGAAATCGCTAGAATATCTTTAATGGCAGATTTTGAGACACAGAATCTGGCAGTACTTCATCCCTACAGAAAACAGGGATAAGTTACTAAATTACAGAGGAGAAAGAATTTATGAAAGAAATGACTCTATAGTTGAACATTATTAAAATGAATTGAAGACCTAAATGTAAGACTGGAAACTATAAAACTCTTAGAAAAAAAAAAGTGGAAATGCTTCATGATCTGTTGCTCCTCAGCAACAAGAAGGCAGTGGGGGGGACGACAAGCAGGACCAGCCTGTTATCCCGGGGGGCTGAGCGAGAGGGCAAGTGTCGACGGCTCGGTCACCCTCCCCAGAGGTCCGAGGAAAACAAAACCACACCAAGCCGGGAGATGTGTTAGCCTTGGAGGCACAGCAAAACTCAGCTTTAATGCATCAGAGGCTTAGTTATATAGGGGAAGATAAGGAAGTAACAGAAACCAATGGGAATTAATTATCTCATCTGTCACTATGGTCTTAGGCAGGTTTTAGGTTAGGTGGGGAGGCGGAGTTAGGGCTAAGACTGCACGCATGGGAACTCAGTTGGGCCACGAATGCAGAAGTAATGAGGGAGGGTGGAAACCTCCAGCCTGCGGCCTTTTCTTGGTTACAAGCCTAAAAGAGGCAAAAGGTCCCAACAATTCCCCCGTTTTGTTTTAAAAATGCTCTGGGATGTCCCAGCGGGCAAGGTGCCTGTCTTAGGTTGTCCCCCTCTGGGGATCTTACCTGTCACTGGGTAACTTGCAGCTCTTCAGTTGTCCCAAGCTTACTTATCCTCCGAGGCCTGTCTTAGGTTGTCTCCACCTTGGAGATCTTACCCGTCATGGGCACACAGGGAGGTAGTCAGGGGAAATCAACGGACATTGCTGCATCATAGCGACTATAGGGGTCACTGGCTTCTGTGGCAAGTCTCTGGTATTGTACTTGCACACTCATCAACTGAATTGATTCAATTCTTTTTTGGACAAACTGGATAATCTTGTTAACAAGGCAGGGCCCAAAAGTGAAAAGTAGGAGCAAAAGAAGGATAGGACCAAGGAGGGGCAGAGTATAGGGCAACCACCCATGTAACTCAGTCCAAAGAAAATTGGCTTGTAATTCTTTTCGGCATCTCTCGAGGTCTTCTTGAAGTTGTATGACCTTATTTTGGACTATGCCGGAACAGTTCGCATAGAAGCAGCATTCTTCCTGTAAAAAGAGACATAAGCCTCCCTTTTCAGCTGTGAGGAGATCAAGCCCCCTACGGTTCTGTAGGACTACTGTCGCTCCAATTGTGCTTGGAGGTCAAGAATTGTGCTGGCTACAGCTTGTATATCATCGATCATCTGTTGAGAAAGGGCTTTATAATAATGCAGAGAGGTCCCTAATCCTGCTGCCCCTGTGGCAGCTCCGGTGGCCACTCCAAGGCCTAAAAGCAGGGGGATAACCTGAATGGCCCTTTTTGATCTACCTCCGATGTGGTCTAAAGCAGGAATAGGGAGGCTTTGATTATTAGGGACTATCCCAATGTCAGGGAAAATGACAGCTGGAACACAAAGCCCAGTCCAGTTCGTTGGGAGAAAGCTAAACGTGTCTTCCGCGCAAATGAAGACTGTTCCATTAGGAGGACAGAGAAAGGTATTATTCACAATAATATTTTGTTGACAAAAAGAATAGTGGATTCAGCCGACATATGTCTCACTAGTATTATCAGAACTGGGGTTAGCTTTGAAGCATGGGCCTTTAGGGGAAAGAGGGTCTAGATAGACTCTATAACTTGGGGGTAACAGCTGGCACTGGGGCTTGGCCTGTGACAGGTTAACAAAAGAGCATTGGCCCGTAATGGTCCCGGCTTCAGGCACAGCCAGAAATCCTTCGCTAAATCAGGATTGGTTCTATTGAGTAAGGTAAAAGCAGCCTGTATGATTGACTGTGTTTCAGAATCAAGAAGCAATTCTCCCCTGATCTCTGCGAGGCTAAGAGGGTGGTAAATCGGGGGATTTTGGTCTTCAATCAGCCTGTCTACCAGTTTTTTAATTTTGTGCTGTCGAGCCTGATCTTGGACTCCCCCCCCATCAGAGATGCCTATAGGGGCATATGTATTCCAACAGACTTGCTGTCCCCTCTTCTTTCAACAGTCAGCATATTCAGCCTTGCCTTTTATCAGAATCGCACACCAGTATGTTTTGTTATGGTGAGTGCAGGGGCTAACCTCCTCATAGCATGTAGCATGAATGGAGGCTTGAAAAGTGGTGCAAGGACAATTAGAGGGGGGTTTCCCTGGGACAGGTGAGGATACTTTGGGGCCTTGCCAACATTTGTGATCGAAACCCTTCCAGGGCATCCATTTTCTCTCACTTTTGTAAGAGTAGCTGCCCGTTGCCCATTAGGGCAGGTTTTGATAGAAGTATAACAGGTTACGGGGGGAGGGGTCTTGGTAAAAGCACAGGCCATGCAGGGGTCTCTGATGGTCTTTCATAGTATGGCCCTTGCTTGACTGGGATCTCCAAATCCTGTCTTAGCTAATGGGAGATTCATCACTATTAACAGGAAGACCAGCCTCATTGGGTTCATTGTGGACTCTGAGAGGGAGAAGAGAGATATCCTCAGGAGGCAAGGGGCCTTCTGGGTCATCATTGACATTAGTGAACTCCTCCTCCTTAGGGGGGTAATACTTGAGATCTCTTGCAGGGACCCAGATTGGCCTTTTTTCATTGGTTGGAAAGACACAGCCGAATCCCCTTCCAGCTGTAATGAGGGGGTCCGGGCCTCTCCATTCTCCAGTAAGGGGGTCCTTCCATCGGACTCTAGCCGTCTGATAAGGAACAGTTGTTGTCCAGTGCTTTTGGAAGGGCGAGAAGTGTTCGCCTTTGGCAAAATTCAAAATATTTAGAGTAAATAATGCCATCTTTAGTTGATCATGGATGGGGGAGTGTTCCCCCTTTTTGTTTTATTAATTGACCTTTGAGGATATGATTGTATTTTTCTACGATTGCTTGTCCTTTAGGGCTATAAGGAATTCCAGTGGTATGAGAAATTTGCCATTTACTCAAGAATTCAGTAAAAGATCTACTGATAAAGCAGGGATCATTATCGGTTTTGATTTGGTCTGGCAGGCCAAGAACGGCAAAGCACTGGAGAAAATGCTATGGCATGTTTGGATTTTTCTCCCATATGGGCTGTGGCCCAACAAGCATGGGAGAGGGTATCAACTTAGAAATATGTATTTAAGCTTCCCAAAAGGGGCAAAAGTGTGACATCAATCTGCCAAAGGTTATTGGGCCTCAGGCCTCGAGGGTTCACCCCGCCCTTTTGAAGCGGAGGAACCTATAGAAAGGGCTGGCATGATATACATGTTCTAATGATCTTTTTTAAGTCTCTGATGGGGACTTGAGGGAACCGATGGTGTAGTCCCCTCCAATTAGCGTAAGTTGATGAAAAGAGGTGGCTTCCTGTACTGTGTAGGCTGAAGCTAGTTGGTCTGCAAGAGCATTGCCCCTCGACAAAAGGCTTGGCAAGTCCTGATGTCCTCTTAAATGTTGCACAAAAAGGGGAACTAGTCTCTGTTTTAACAAATTGCGAGCTTGAATCATCAAAGGAGTGATGGGATTATTGTCAAGTCTGATGTGTGCTCCCACAGGGTTGGGCAGTAGATTGACAACATAAAGGCTATCTAAAAACAGATTAAGCCTTGGATCTCAGATAGAGCTAAAACAACAGCATAAAGCTCTTTAAACTGGGCGGAGCCCTGTATCTCATGAAAGAGGGTTACGGCCAGAGGGCATTCACTTGTGCCTGGGGGGAACATTACCATAGAGGCTCCCCATTTACCCCTGTAGATAAAAACAGAGGGGAAAGAGGGGTCTGCCTCAGTGAGGAAC